CTGGATACGACTTACAATCAAATGTTTATATTTCAATCAATGCAGGTCCTAAAATTAAAGGTGTTATTCTCGGTATGAGTGAGTGTGTTGGTGAATTAACATGTTGTCTTTGTCCATTGTTTGCTGGTTTGATTGCCACACAAACAGATGATAGAAAATGGGCATTATGGTTTGGATTGATATTACAATGTGTTGGAATTGTGTTATGCATCATTACACAAGCCATAACCATCATTCTTGAACGATTTGACAAACAAAAAGAAAGTGATGAAATTGAATTAGGTAATAATGAATATCAAGAACCTACTCCAATTGAAGATGTAGATGTTGATACTAATTTAGTTCATCAAATTGAAATAGAAGATGGAAATGTTTCTGAGTCTTCAGAACTAGACAAAGAAGAAGATACTGATGAAAAGAGTCCTGAAGAAAATGAAAATGTTCAACCCACTGGTACTCCAGAACAAAAACCTTCTAACGAATAAACAGACATGACATGTCTTTGATTTCTATATTATCTATTTTAATTTTTATTCTTTGATTTTATTCACACATTTGTTTATTTTAGTCATCTCTTATTATTCTTGTTTAATGTAAAGAAATATCATTGTTATTATTTTATTTAATCGAGTATTTTAACTTTATCTTTAATTCATAATGAAATTCAGCAAAGTAATTCTCTCTTATAATTTCATACACCAAAGAACAACCAACTAATAATTAGAGATGAGAATTTATTCATTTTAATTGGTTTTAATTAGTATATGTATTTCTTTACTTTGGTCTTTCAATGTACAAATTATAATTGTTTCTTTTCATTGACTCTTTTTATTGATAAACTCAGGTAAAACATTCATTTAGTATCATTATGAGAGTCTTTAATTCATTTCATTAAAATTATTGATATTAAACAAAGTACTTTATTTCTTTATTTTCTTGAAATTGTAAAGTTCTTAGTATAGTAATGAGGTTAGAAAACTATCAATTATGTAATTTTTACATTCTTATATCATAAACTTACTTATAAACTTAATCCAATAATATCAAACTCTGTTTAGAATATTATTTCTCTTAGGCAACTGTCTTATTCCTATTTTCAGTTAATTCAATTATATGTATTTAGCTGTGATGAATATCATATTCTATAATATCAAAGATATTTTAATTATAATGTTTTTCATTTATTTTATGATGATATTAATTTATTTGTGGTTTTTAATTAATTAATGCTTTCTGAATTAACCAATATATTGATTGAAGCAGATACTGTATATATTTTATTTACGACTTTATAAAAATTCTTCTTTTTTTTCTACTTATCTCTTTTTATCAAATATCTTCTAATTATTCAACCAATTAATTCAAATCAATACATCACTTCAATTAGAATTTCATTTCTTTGTTTTATTATTTTATTTATTTTCTGACTATCATCCAGTTCTATATCTTTCATTGTGTATTAATATTTATTTTTCATATTCAATGTCAATATTATCATCATTATTGTGTATTTATTATCAATGTCATTCCTTTCTTATTTTTTTTTTCTGAAATAAAAACATTCAGCTTAAATAAGACTATAAATATATTTTATGAGTGTTACAAAATGGTTATTCAATTTCTTCACTATGTTTTAATCATATAAGAGAGTTTTTCGAGGTATTCATATAAAATTTTATTTTAACTCAACAATATTATTTTCCATATAAGCAATAGCATTTCATACTATTCCTCATTGACTATAAGATGTTGGTTAATTATAATTTCAATAGAAGTAATATTTTTATTATTTTGTTTCACCAATATTATTATATTATTACAAATAGTCTTTCTAGACTTTGTTTCTTTATTTTATATTAATTTCTTTCAACTTCAATTATATTTAATTAGTGCATAATGTTTAGATAATGAACTATACAATTAA